TATCACACTTATTTATCACACTTATTTATCACACTTATTTATCACTTATTTATCTCACACAGGGCTGCGGAGTCGATGGATTTTCGGCGACTCCGACTCCGACTCCGACTCCGGGCAGAATTGTCGACTCCGACTGACTCCAACTCCCGACTCCGACTCCGCAGACCTAGCAGGGCTGCGGAGTCGACAGATTTTCGGTGACTCCGACTCCGACTGCGGATCGGGTTTTTAAAAGCGACTCCGACTCCGACTCCGACTCCGGTCACAACTGTCGACTCCGACCGACTCCGACTCCGACTCCGACTCCGCAGCCCTGATTCTCACACCACCTCCAGTCTCCACACAGCCCCGCGTCACTCGACTCAAACTGAAGCGCGAATCAACACGCCGCCGTTCATTTGAATTTACGCATGTGCACGCGCAGCCGCTCGCGCTGGCCGGCGGCCGGCTGACCTTGAATCCAAGGCCATATCCGATCCATGGTAACGGTGCTAGTAACACCGTTTAGAGATCAATGAACTGGGAGCTACACCATTGTGTGGCGTATGCGATATAACGTCTCTGTCACGGGGTGTTGACACCAAATGGTGGTGTTATTTATCCGTAGCGTCGGTTGGTCTGAGGTGGCATTGGTGTTAATTGTCGGTGTTGATTTTGAACACCGAGTAATTGCACCATTCTTCGGCGTTACACCCCACAGTTACACAGTTGAGTTGTGTTACACCCTACCAAAACGCCTCTCATTGGTGCTTTTTTTTCGTGTCACCGGCACGCGAGTGTTAATTTATTTTCAGTGTAGGCGGGAAGGGACTGCGTCCACATCGTGCGAAAAATCTGATTATTTGTTTGTCATGACATGTTTCCTAATTAAATCGATGATCTTCATCCGGTTCTGTCCATCTCGTTGGAACCCAATAAACAAGCGAACTCCGTTTTACATATCATTGTTTTGTTCTTTTTTATCACAAATTGCGACAAGTGTAGCACAAAAAATCATGGTGTTAAAGTACCTCATAACTTTCGGATAAGTTTAAGGCTTTTAAGGTAACAATACCAAAGAATCACTGGTACGTATACGTGTAAGCAGGTTATGTGACACAAACCAATTCGGTACGTATACGTGTGAGAAGGTCATGTGACACAAATAAATTCGGTATTTTGACGCAAAAAGGTTGAGCTACCTGTTTTCTCGGCGTAGGATAACCCGTAAATGTAGTACCGATTTGGTACTCCAAAAATACCCGGATTTTGAAGCTAGAAATACCCGAGAATCACTGGTATTTGTACGTAATAAAAGTTTATGCGAAACAATGAAGGGTATTGATACTCGTTTTCTGGACGTAGGATAACCCGTAAAACTAGTACCGATTTGGTACTCGTGAAAAAACCCGCATTTTTTTAGGTAAAGCTAGCTAAGAATAGCTGGTATGTATACAATAAAGCAGGTCATGTGATACAATCAGTTTAGGTAGTCTACCACTGACTGAGTAGATATAAACGTTTTCTCGGCGTTAAAGGACCCATAAATATAGTACCGATTTGGTACTCGTGAAATACCTAGATTTTTAGGGTAAATATTTCTCTGAGAAGCAATTAGTGCAACCCTAGCTGATAGCTGCTAAGAGACACACTGAACCTGATTTCACCAAATCTGCGCCTAATCTGTACCAGATGTGCACCAAATGTGTACCAGATGGCCGTCGTGAAAACGGCAGTTATGTATTTGTCATTTGAGTCGTGACATGACCTGAAGAATAAGGTCATATCTCCGAAACCAAAACCACAGAAATTTGAAATTTTCAGTGGACATCAAAAAAGGATAGAGGAGCAGCTATACGAAAGTTCATGTTTCTAGCTAAAAAAAAAGTTCTGGGTGCAGAGCAGAAAACCTACCTGGAGGGGGGAGGGGAGTGGCAACCCCCCATGTGTGGGCGAGGGTTAAGGCCGAAATAGCTTGTAACTTAAACCAATGAGAAATCAATCCAACAGACACAAATTACCTCCCAAAAACCACTGTATTTTTCCCTCCCAACAATCCGACTTGATTTTCCGAATTTGATCTCGCGCAATTTCTCGCCCTTGTGTGAAGGATCACAGTTCACATCACAGACTTAATGGCTACGCTAGTGGACATCCCAATAACACATCATTTAACACACCGCCTTGCAGGCCGAAATTCCAACTCCGAACTCCTTCATTGTTCGGCCCGGCACTTGGAACGTCCCTCGTAGATTATGAGTTTGAGTTTTCGTGATCTGATGCGGTAATGACCTGGCGTTGGACCCTCGGGAATCAGGTTGCATCACCCACTCAAATTAATATAGCTATGACTATTCTGGAGCATCGCGGCACCCTCCGAAGTCGGGGTAGGGCCTCCAGCGGCTAGTGTGGAGACGGATCGGGTCTATTCATATTAGGGGCGGTCGCGTGGTGTGCGGCACTCAGAGGCAGTTATGGACCTCATAACCAATTGGTCTTTCGAGCCTCTAAGAATTCACCAAGGACCGAGTCCAAGACACGACACCTCATTGTCAGCTACATGCACCTACTGTGGTTAGAACCTTATATATGTTTGTGCTTATTTGCTTATCTGTTTATTTTGATTTTTTTATCAACTGATAAGTGACAGAAGATTGGTAGGGCTCAGCGAACATTGGTAGGGCCCAAATAAGCATCGGTAGGGCTCGGGCCCTACACAAAACGACGCCCCTGATTAGGACCGTCCTCGCCGGCGGCGGGTGTGACCTCCCGTGTTCCCGAGGACTACGTCACGCCAATTATGACTATTGACTGAAATACGGTCAATTAGATTTGCGTCATTTTGCTGCTAATTGGTTGAGAAACACGGTCGTGAAAGTTTCATGTCGCTGTCTTTCATAGATTCGCCATTATTACCTACTCCGAATACCCGGCATTGGTTGACCTGACCTGACCTGACTCGACCTGGCCTAAATGCATGCAGACATCATCTGTGATAAAAATTAGATATTACCAGCTTCCTCTCGTCATGGGCAACACGCTCGTTTTTTCAGCGAAGCTCTAGCTCGATCAGGGGCCAAACGGCAAGGGGGGCCCTTGCCGTTTGGTCACCGTCCTCGCCGGCGGCGGGTGTGACCTCCCGTGTTCCGAAGAACTACGGCATTCAGAAGAACTACGGCATTCAGAAGAACTACGGCAAGGGGGGGGAGGGTCCAACGTCCAACGGTGGGTCCCTTATACGTTCGCGGTTGGCATAACACCAATACGGGCGAGGGTAAACTTAATTTCTGGACTTTCTTAACCCGCGTCCCGATGGACTATTCAGTCAAGCTCGCCCCGCTGGGGCACAATTTCTGTTGCTTGAGTACTTCACAGGTCAGGTCAAGGTCAGATGAAAGGTAAGAACTGCATGTTTCTGCATACATTACTGGCTTGGGAGCCTAGATTGGCGAATAATGGACTGAGATTGATTGCCCAAAACGCGATCTTAGACTACCAAGGCAAGTTGCGTTGCATACGATGTCGTTATAAGGTCAAGAAGATCCAGGTCAAGTCAGGTAATCAAAGACGAACTATAGGATAGGGTATGTGCGAAACATGTTTAATAGGTTGTTTTAACCCGCGCGCGGCCGGGGGTGTTTGAACCCCCCCCCCCCTGCGGTTTTTCGCAGATATCTCAAAAACGGCTCCGCGCCGCGTTTTTGGCACACCTGTTCGTGATCTTTTCCGCACATGTGAAAATTTCAGACCCAGTTCGCCTTAGGTCAGGTCCCCAGGTCACGCCAAGTGACCTCACCTCAGAAAAAAATAAGAATGCTCGTCATAGCTACACCGATTGATCGCTTGCCTCAAAACTTTCAGAGATTGATTAGAGCAACATTATCTATAAAATGTTTATCTCTGAATTTTGATATCGGTCAATTTTGCGGCCTCTCCATTACCTACATACAATTGTCAATGGGAGAAAACTGAAAAGCGTCTGTTTTGCACGAGCGCTATTCTAGACACTTTCAAACATCGAGATGTAGGTAAAATTCACACACTGAACCGGAAAATGGCAACTGTGACCCCTCCTTATGTTCCCGAGGTCATCTCAGGTCATGAACAGAATCTAACAGTTTTTCGGTAATAACTTTTGATAGAGGCGTGCTAGAGAGCTGAAAACGCCTTAGATGTGTTCGGCTCGACATTGCAGATCGACTGATATGCAACATGACCTTTTCCGGTCAGGTCATAACCTTGACCTGAGGTCAACTTTTCAAGTTGACCTTTCAAGGTCAAATTATAGTGCATTCGACGCGTCTCGACGAGAGGAACATGAGCTGGCAAGAGTAATGTCATGCCTCTTTTGAGTCAAAAGTGATTGCCGAAAAAACGCTTCTCGTAAAAACGGCTATTTTTGGAGTTTTTGCCCTCTGGAGGCTAAAGCGTTGACCTGAGGTCAAATCTGAGGACATTATTCAGAGAGGTCTGTAAAAGGGCTATCGAATACGCTTTTCCGCGGCGCTGTTTTGAGACCAAGAAAGGTGTCTATTTGATGATTTTTTTTTCACAGCGAATCAAATGGTGCTTTCTTATTCCTGTATACCCGCTCTTATCATATTCGAATGAAAATGGCGGGCGGAATGACTAATTGATGTATATTGATCATTCTGTAGTCGACTATACACAGACACATGGGTGTAAGGGGGACGCGAAAAAATAAACTGATTGACTTTTGAACATAAAGTTTGATTTACAATATGCGAAGCATTAACGGAAAACTTTCTTAAGGGAACATAGAAGTCGCAAAATTAATGTTGCACAACACGTGCGTGCTGACAGAAATTCCAATAAACGACAAGCGAACTTGTAATTTGGGAGCCTTGGACGGAATTTTCCTTCAACAGCTCACAAAGCAAAGGTTGTGACTTGTAAAATAGGTAGCCAATTGAAAAACTAGCTTCTTCAGTTAGGCCGCAATCGGCGGGCTTGCTGTTTTACTACAGCCAGGCATCACCGTGCTCGAGCTGGCAACTTACTGAATGTCAGCACTGTCAGCGCGGTGTTGACGGGATCAGCGACTGGTCCGAGACGGGATCCGAGACGGGATCAGCGACTGGTCCGAGACGCTCCGCGACGAGTGACGGTGTGACTGAGCAGAGCCGCCGCCGCCGCCGCAGCTCTTTGGAGCTTATCTACAAATCAGCCTGCTGTGGGGGCGGGGGGGGGGGCGACTCCAGCCGACACAAACAGCTCGGAGCGGGACGGACCCGGCGGCCGACATTACGCTCCGTCACGATCACATGCGCCGCCCCCCCCCCCCGCCCGGGAATGACGGTGCACGGCGGCCATTGGTCGCCCGGCCGGATACCGGGTCGCCGTGCCATGACGCGGCGGTTCACGCAGTACATACGAGTGGCCGGCAGCATTGATACGAGACGAGCGTACTCATCGGCTCTACAATCAGCATCGGACTCAGTGGCCTGGCCTGCGCCGCTACCCTCTCGCCGCACACGAACCTCCTTTGTTCAATAGCCAATGTGTTATGATGTTCAAAGTTTTGATAACGGTGTAAATAGTAACGGTGTAAATAATTGCTTCAGAGAGATAAAAGATCTCCGACATGATCTTTTCTATGATGATGTGGACTTAGAGAAGTGTCCGGAGTCGGAGCCGGAGTCGATTTTTGAAGTCGGAGTCAGAGTCGGAATCACCTATCCATCCATCGACTTCACAGTCCTCGGATGAACCAAACATTAGCTTTGTGTGACTTGCTTAGTGGCGGTCAGAGCCCGACGTGGGAACATGTCTATCTACAACAATTATCTGAACTGACCCGTGACGTCATCAGTGACCTCAACAAAATTGAGTTTGTTATGTATATTTTTCCTTGGCTAGCAAACGTCGTTTGAATTTTGAAAATCAGACCATATACATAGTTTCGGAGATAGGAAAAGGGACCCTGTAGACTCAGAGCCTCTCCCCGCCCCCGCTCTTCCTCACTCAACTCGCATAATGAAATCTTCCCCAGTCATGCACGGTTTAAAGTTCCTAGGTCACTGGCCGACCTTTCAGGTTAGGTCAACGACCCCAATCAGATCATAATCAAAGTCTACTTCGCCGTTTTCCATGGGTGAGATCGTTCTTGTGTATTTTAGGAATGGATTTCTAGCTCAGCTTTGGTTTGTTAAGAATGATACATCTGTGCATTTAGGTTCGGGCAAGGCCATCATGACAATGATCAGACCATCTGCCGGTTATTCTTAGTAAGAAAAAATAAATCACCACCGCTGATTGCTTCATTTCATGTTATAAGGGCTCACAAACTCATTTCATGCTCCAAATGCTCAAACGAATGCATAACTGACCTTTCCGTGACCTTGCCGCTTTCAGAATCCTTGTTATAGGTAAACATCATTTTACAAGTTGGCACCTTTCAAATCACAAAAAAAAAATGCACAGAAGAGAACCTATAGTGGGCGCTAGGATGGGGCGTAGTAGCCTAATACTGTTTGAAGGGAGAAATCACGCCAAAGTTCATTTTAGTCAGGGTCTTAAACTTGTCAGGGTTGGTGTACTGACAATCGCGGTTGTTGATTCTTATTTGATCGCCTTGAAGCTCATACACTTGCTGAGAATAGTTGTTGTATAATGGCGCTTATGTAACTGGCTCTGCGCCGGCTGGCTCTTACGTAAGGTATTGGGACTGCTGTATACCTAGGCATGTACGTAAGGTATTGGGACTGTTGTACCTAGGCATGTACGTAAGGTATTGGGACTGTTGTACCTAGGTATGTATGTAAGGCATTGGGACTGTTGTACCTAGGCATGGGGGAAAGTGGGGTAAGACGGTAAGGGTAGGTAAGACGGGCACCCCTTCTGCAGACCAAACCAATAGCGCTACGAGCGAGAAAAATTAGGACCAGAATCGCCTTTCCCACTACACACCACCATTGAAGTCTTGTGAATTTGTGTTCAGTCGATAATCTTTTATTTTGATTTCTTTGAAACACTCATTTCATTGAAAACATCCATAATGTATTGTGCAACCTTTTGTGTGCAGCACTATAGAGTTAAAAACTTGCAATCACTTGTGGTACACTCATATGCCATCAGTGTTCATTTACCGCGGATTTGCTTTGTCTGCATCAAATTGTCCACAGGGAAAAATCGTGCTGAACTTCTGACATTGAGTTTGGGGTAAGACGGGCAACTATGAATCCGATGGGACTGTAATGGTGAAAATATTTTTGTTGCTGTAGAAAAAAAAAGAAGCATTTCTAATAAGAATATGTTCGAATCCGATGCTCACAGACATGTTAGCAATATTCCTTCGGCACAGTTTATTCTCGAATAATGAATGTGAAAAACGGTTCTACATGGCTTCTGAACTAGGGCCTATTACGAGCATACGCCTTCTGCACGAATCTCGTATACTGCGATTTCCGAAGCACTTGAGACCAACGAGCGACTGTATCAATGCGGCTAATCTCGGGCATTTGTTGCGAGCTGTGCTGGTCGGTGAAAGAAGCTGGCCGTCTTGCCCTACCCATGTGACCGTCTTACCCCATGGGGTGGGGTAAGACGGGGTTTTTGCAAGGTTTTGCAAAAATAGCTGCAGTTTATTTGTTGAATCAGGTCTAAGTCTCATCTTCTGGCAAATGGAAGTAAAATGTCTAAAAAAGGTTTTCACTCAGTTTCCCGTTTCTATGATGTTTCTAACCGGCCGGAAAATGGCTCCAAAGTTAAGGTGCCCGTCTAGTGGCGTATTCAGGGGGGGGGGAGGCATGAGGGCCATGGGGGGGGCATGAGGGTCATGCCCCCCCCTTTCCGCCCAGCCGCCCAGATGGCGCCCCAATTAGCGCCGACTAGGCTGATGCCGTTTTACAGAGGGAACATGAATTAACCCTCGCCCGCACATGGGGGGGGGGTTGCCACCCCCCCCCCCAGGTAGTCTTTCTGCTCTGCACTCAACATTTTTAAAGCTAGAAGGCTGATTTTTCGTATAGCTGCTCCTCTATCCTTTCTTGATGTCCACTGAAAATTCAAGTTTCTGTGCTTTTTGGTTTCGGAGATATGACCTTGTTTTTCAGGTCATGTCATGACCCAAATAGCCAATTCTCAACATCTTGCGTTTGCCATGGGCCTTGTGAGCTTTTGACACCCTGATTTCGGCCTTTTTTGCCAGTCTTACCTCCCACCTATCATGGAACATGTTGTTCGACGATGTACAGGGGTCAAGGTCAGGGTCAAGGTCAGCCTAGGTCATCTAAGATAATTGCGTTTTAGGCAAGCTGAATTTACTTTTCGTGAATTTTTTTTACTGCATTTTTGGTAAAAGCTTCTCAGATCATGATTTCATGTAATATGGACCCAAAAACAATCGGTGCACACATCAGTATACACACAGACACACACAGACATACAAACATATATAATTGACCTTGACCTAACTTGACCTGAAATGACCTCAGCAGCAAAATTCTGGTCGGGTAGTGTGACTAAGAGGTTCTAGCTGGCTTGGCACCAGAAAACAGCATCGCCATCGGTATTTGATAAGCAGCGCACTTGATATCCAACGGTGACCCAAAACCAGGGCTGCGGAGTCGGAGTCGGAGTCGGTCGGAGTCGACAGTTGTGACCGGAGTCGGAGTCGGAGTGGGAGTCGATTTTAGAAACCCGAGCCGAAGTCGGAGTCGGAGTTACCGAAAATCTGTCGACTCCGCAGCCCTGCTAGGTCTGCGGAGTCGGAGTCGGGAGTTGGAGTCGGTCGGAGTCGACAATTCTGCCGGGAGTCGGAGTCGGAGTCGGAGCTGGTTTTTGAAAGCCGGAGTCGGAGTCGGAGTCGGAGTCGCCGAAAATCCATCGACTCCGCAGCCCTGCCCAAAACAGCAACATTTTTTAGTTTGACCTGACCTGGAAGGTCAATGACTGACCTGAGAAGGTAAAACTGGGTATCATTGGATTTGTCTCTTCCCAAAGAATCTTTTTGGTCTTTACCGCTAAGCTCTATCTCCAACAGGAACGAAATGGCGCAGGGGGGGGGGGTGTGGCAACCCCCCCCCCCCATGTGCGTTCTAGGATGGGAAAATGGCATGCGCGGGCGAGGGTTAAAGAGTGATGTGAAGGCAGGCATCGAACTCAATATCTCTTTGGGGGTGCCTGGACACCCGAATGTTCTCCAGGACACCCCCAACTAGGACCTGAGCCCCCAATTATGAAGAGCATCCCTCTGGAAACCAGAATATTCCGAACACCCAGGGTCGATGGCGCCCCTGAAGAGCCACTGGCACCCAGCTGAACGGAACAGTCGCCCCTTTAAAGCTTGATGGCGCCCCTCTAGAGCACCCGGCGCCCCTCTGAAGTTCACAGCTGCCCCAATCGGCCCCATTCAAGATCGATGGCGCCCCCTGAAACCACTGGCGCCCCTCTAAGGCACCCGCATCCTTCTCAAGATCACACTCGCCCTATTCGAGATCAATAGCGCCCTCAACAGCCACTAGCGCCCCCCTTGAGGCTGAAGTTGTTCCGATTGAGACTTAAGTCGCCATTCAAGCCCAACGACGCCCCTCCAGAGCGTCCGGCGCGCTTCTGAAGATCACAGTCGTCCTCATCCGAGGTCGCTGGCGCCCCTCAAAAGTCACTGGCGCCCATCTAAACGGAGATTACAGCTGCCTCATCTTAAGATCGATGGCAATTGGCAACCCTCTGAAACCAATGGCACCCTTCTTAGAGTACCCGGCGCCCCTCTGAAAATCACATTCGCCCCATCCGAGACAACGCCCCTTGACACTACAGTCGCCCCACCCAAGCTCAAAGCGCCCCTCCAGAGCGTGCAGCGCCCTGCTGAAGGCAACAGTAGCCCCATCCATGCCCAATGGTGCATTCAACACAGTCTAAAGATCACAGTCGCCCCATCAATCAGAGATCGCTGGCGCCCCTCAAGAGCCACTGCGCGCCCACCTGAACGGGACTTCAGTCGGCCCATCCTAGATCAATGGCGACCCTATGAAACCACTGGCGCCCCTCTGAAAATCCCAGACGGACCATCCGAGATCAATGGCGCCCCGCCCCATTCAAGATCGATAGCGCCCCCCCCTCCTGAAACCACTGACGCTAGGTAATTACAGGGTGTCCCAGAAATGATGGCGGTCTTCGAAAAGTTCGTTGACCTTAAGTTGAATATTTTGCAGTGATTT